CAACAGCTGCCGTAAACGAACTGTCTGACAGATCGCGCTCATTTTTGGCATAGTAATTAAGGACAGTGCTGCCAAACTACATAAACTTAAAATATCGGAAAATATACAGCGCGCGAATTTTAAATGAGAATTTCCGAAAACTTTTCGGTCTTAATGTATAATAATTAATAATCTAATGAACTTTGCAGGGTCCAATAAAGTTAAAACAGTATAGGTAGTTTATATCAGCGGCATACACAAATAGGAATATTGGGACTGAAAGAATACTTTGTAAATCCACACACATATGATTTAAGCGAAATAAAAATCTTTAAAAAATTAATTTTAATAATAAGAGGCCCGGTAAGAATAAAATGTAGAGGGCTCTAAATTGAATTAATCTGACCCTTCATATCTACATACTTATATATACATCCGTTCTTCAACCTCTTCGAAAGCCATTTAACTAGAAAATGATTTATATCGACTTTCGCTTTTCGAAATAAAATATCTAAAGAAAATTCTTAAGAAAATTAATTCTTCTTTTCCTAGTTATTCAAAGCACAACTTCCAATAATAAGAGGCCTGGTAAGAATAAAATGTAGGTTCTAAATTGAATTATTCTGATCCTTCATACCTACTTACTTATGCATACACCCCTTCTTCAACCTCTTCCAAAGTCATTTAACTAGAAAATGATTTATATCGACTTTCGCTTTTCGACGAAACTAATAAGCGATACTTAAGTTTAATGAAGTATTTTATAAGATATCAAATACTCGTAATGTAAGTACTAAATGCTGGTAATTATTGAAAACTTTTATGATTATATACTATCGTTTATGTCAAACTGTTAGGTTTAGTAAAAAAACTAAAATTATTTAAATCTACTAATTATATTTTTTAATGTTGAACGGTGTCTTATGTTTTTAAATAATTGTTTTCGCGGATTAACTATGGATACTAAAAAGAATGCTTTGAGCCATTCTTACCTGTAGAATCATAAAAAGTTATAAGTTTTTCAAGAAGTAGTGAATGAAGTAATTTTCTAAATGAATTTAACGATTTATGCATTAAACCTTAAACTTGTTGAAGTCTGTAACTAAGCCAATAAGCCAATCGACAAAGCTATTTTGTGGATTTCATTTGAAAGATACAAGTTATACAAGTGAAAAGAAAAAATAAAAAACTTTTTAGAAGGATTAAAAATAAATTTAAAATTTCCAACTAATAAATTTATTGACATTGATAAAAAAATTTTATTACATTTTTTGAGAGAAATTTCAATCTCAAATAATGTTATTTCTTAGCAATAATAATGCCTAAATGAATATAAAATTTTTATGTTGGCTAAAATTTATTATTCTTAACATTAAAAATAAGCTTAAAACAATATAATACTCGTTTTGTTAAATATTATATATGTAAAAATTTAAATAATGAAATTATCAGTCAGCAGCGGTTAATTGAAAAGAAAAATGACGACTATTTGTCCGCATTCATACAGGCTCATCCATGAGCAGAGGCTGTAGTCTGTAGTCTGTGGTATCCGAAACGTTATAATAAACAAAATATTTGCATAGAAAATGTGAGAAACAAAACTACAAGTGCAAATATTGCACACAGCGCAGTGAGTTCAATTGGGCTGCCACATTAACGTTAATACCATCACAATTGCATTACATGCAACAGACAAGAAGTCAGTTTGTCGGCCTTAATAAAACAGCGAAAATGCATTATAAACACAGTTGGAGTACGAATGCAAGTAACTTGCAATGCGCAGATACTCACTCGAATGAACGACGAAAAGTCATCAAGTTAAGCGTTGAAGATGCGCAACGCTACCAATCTTAACCTGCAAAAATGGGTACTAAACAAAAAGAAAAGATTCCAGCAAATGTTGCTGTACTTGCTGTACTTGGTGCATTTGTGTTGCAAAAAACGTTGGAGTAAGCAATAAAAAAGTTATAAATATAAAACATTAACCGCAAGTTCCCGAACTGCAGTTAGTGTGGCTGCCTTTGATGCACTTTTTGTTGCAACTGCACGAGCTGTAAACTTGGCTCAGAATTGAATGAGAGAAAGTAACGCTAAGAACGTGATGCACCTCGAGGTGTTTTCGACGTTTGTAGTGGGTAAACCGTTTAAGTACGTGTTTTAGCGCCACAGACAAAATATATGTAGGATTTCGGTTTTACGAAACACAGCGAATTTTTCATCAAAGAATGCCACTTGAGGTCAAAAGCCATAAAGGAAAGCAAAAATATTCACTTCGATTTTAAGAAAACAAAAACCAAAAAGCAAAAGTGCTTTAAGAAGATACTTCGCATATGAAAAGTGAAATTTCCTTAAATGGCACTTATTCAGTATTTTTCGTTTGCTATATTTTTTTTCACTTGGCAGTAATAAGGAAAAACAGTGCTCAGTAAATAAAAAGGGTTTGACATGACATGCGAAATAAATTTTATTAAAATGATTATTATTATAATGAAGCTATAATGAATAATGAAACTCAGCCTCAGTCAACCTAAGTACTGATATTAAGACTTATACAAATAGAAAATATTTTACCTTTGGATATATTTTAATAAGCATTTTGATGGATGCGAATAATATAAAATAAGAAATTTAATACATACATAAATAATTCTCATATTTTCTTATATTATTTAGTATACAAAAACTGTGAGGTTTCTTTTTCATTAACTTGAAATTTTACATTAGCAGGACTTTTATTGAATCAGTAGTCTTAAATGAAAGGTTGACAAAGCACTGTGTCCACCGATGATTGTTATGCTAAGAAAGAAGAAGATGTCTTAAATGAAAACAAAACTAAGTCCTTAAAACACAATCAAAGACCACACTATTCAAATTATGATAAACTTTGTGTACTTTCAAATGGATCACGAGATCATACCAAAGAAAGTAAAAGTCGATAATGTTTAAATAGAATGGGAAGACAATGTAAAATATTTAGATCTAACTTTTGACAGAATGTACACTTGACAAGAAAATATAGCAATCAAAAACCTGGCTTCTAATAAAACCCTAAATGCTCTAAAATCATTAAAACAAGAGTGTGTGAAGTGTGAAAAATCAAATTCTGCTTTATAAACAAGTAATTCGATCCAAACTACTTTAAGACTGCATCTCTTATGACAATACTGCTTTATCCCCCATTTGAAAACTTCAAACTTATCTGAATATCGCACTGAGATGTATCCTTAAATCTCCGTGGTATATCAAAAATGAAATGAACACGAAGACTTGAGAGTCGAGAGTCAAGATTGCACAAAAGTGTATCGACAAAGCTCTAAAATTGTTATATTCTGTGAATACTCACACTAAGTTCAGAAATGCGTTCTCTTAAATCCAATGTAATATATCTTTCGTCAGGAAAATATACTGGGCTTCAAAGCACACCTCTGTAAATTGACCCGAAAAACTTATTATCAGAATTCAATAAAGCTCTTGTTAGAAATAATCACTCGAAATCAGGCGAAGGATTAATCATAGGTCCTACTATTGGGTTGTGTCGACTTTCTGTTCAAAGAAATAATCATTCGAAATCAAGAGAAGAATCACTTTTGCCAAAATATTTTACTATTGAGTTACAGATCAAAGAAATAATCACTCAAGTTTAACCAAAAATCACTTTCGCTAATAGATCCCACTACTGAGTTGAGATCGCTTTCGATTTAAACATATAATTACTCAAGCTTGAACAAAGAATCACTTTTGTTTTCAGCCAACAAATAAACGAATGAACAAAAATACAAGTTGCTCATATTATATTATAAAATATGGGCTGTTTAAAAATTCGATAAATAAAAGATCAAAGACTTTAAATTTTAGCATATAGAGGACTGTTAAGAGTTCTAACATCTCCATGCTTAAAAAATTAATGCAGATTTATGAAAATGATCTCCAATGCATCTCTGACTTACTTCGGTTTCGTAGCTATACGATCTGGAAACTTGAAGCAACTGATTGTAAAGTAAACGGAAATAGAACGCGAGGAAGACCACCTACTCGTTTATAACCTTTAAAAAAAATCAATTATAAGAAAATATCGAACCGTGTGATATAAAGTATGTTTATAAAACGAAAACACGATTTGTCAAGCTTAAAGAACTAAAAGGGAAAAAAAAAAGATTATATATGTTAGGACAAAATTATGTAGGCATCTCTACGAGAGTTTTCAATGAGATCGGTGAATTGTTTCCTATTTAAAGAATATTGAAAACACGCTCTGTCAAGCTTAAAGAACTGAAAGTGGAAAAAAAGATTATATAGTAAAATAGTAGTAGTACAAAAGGCAACTCTACGAGGGATTTCAATGAGATCGGTGGACTGTTTCCTATATAAAGAATATCGTTATTAATTTCCACTTTTTATGTTACTGTTTTATATAAGAAAAATATAACTATTAAATCGTATGCTGCTAATGTTATGTCCAGATTATTTAAATATTTCGTTCAGATATGTTTTAAGGTTTCCTGTCTTACCAGGTTACCTGTCTGCATGTAAATTAATATAAAAAAAAACAAATTCATATTAATATGTCTTAACTAAATTTGAGTGTTGAACAGATTTATTTATTTTAAATGGTAGTTATCAAGCTTCAAAAGAACGGTTCAATGTGCCTGATAGTTATATTTCTGTATAAGCTATAAAAATATTTCGAATTGAGTCTCAATAAATCAATGTGAAATGCATTAAACATCGAGAAAATTGAGATGACATTATAAAATATAATGCATAATGCATTATGTTTATGTTAATTTAGATGACTTTTTTTGACTTAATTTTAACATTTTATTTAAGTCTGCCAACGTTTAATTGAATTGCGATAAATTGCTGGTTAATTTACACATAAATTTTAAATTTGAATTTCTAAAAGAAAATAGTGTGACTGACTTTTCTTTCAGTTGAAATAGTTAAAAAAAACGGCGATCTAATAAATTCAGCTTAAGGCTAGTTATAACTCAAAGAAATTAAATTTAAATATTAAAACTTACCTGAAGTGAAAGGAATAACACAAAACATAAACAAATTGTTTTGATCCTCATTTTGTATATTTTATTTTATGTTGAATGTGTGTTCTTTACGACTTTTGTATTTCAATCTGTAAGAAAATAGATTTAAAACAATTTTTATTAAAATGCACTTTGTGATTTATAAATATAACAATGAAAGTAATACACACACTATTATAATAAATATTAATCTTATATATTACTCGCAAAGTGAAAGCAAATTAAAAAAACAGTTAACTTTTCAACTACTCATATATTTAAAAAATATGGTATATATTGAATATTGAATAAATGGTTTTTAATAGTTAAAATGATATTTTACTATTACTATAGTTGATATTTGCCAAATGATTGAAAATTAATTAGAAGAAAAAAGATTATTTAATTTCACACACTTCCCAGTTCGAATGCTGCACACATTTATCTGAATTTATCTGATATCTTTCACTTCACAATGGTGTGTAATGCCTATAGTTATACACACATTGTTTATCTTTCGATATTAATTTTCAGAGATAAAAAAAGAAAATAAATAAAAACAAAAAAGCAATATTTTATACAATTAACAAGTTTTACGTTCTTCGAGGTTTTGCTATACTTGATTTATTGCCGTTACATCTATCAAATGATATGTTATTATGACTATCCAAGACTAGTGACTCTTGGCAATTGTTGATCGAATATATTCAGTCAATAAGAAAATAAATTAAAAAATAATTTTTTTTTATTATAAAAATGTCTACCACTTGACAATCGTACGTATCTATTTATTTATAATTGTGCAAATTAATTGAAATCGAAAATTGTTAAAACAAATTTATACTCTCACATTTCACTCGCATCTCACATCTCACATCTTATAATGAGTAACTGTGTGAAATTGTTTAACTGATTTTTTGCTTAAATAAAATCATAATAAGTTGAAAAATTAAATATAAAATATAAAAAAAAGAAAGACAAAATAGAAGAAATATATTATGTGTACAAACAAATAGCCATGATAATGACAATAATAATAAGTTTAGTAAGTAACGCACAAATGTTAAAAATGTTAAAAACTTCACAAATGAAAGTCATAATATTTACGACAGACGCAGACGTAGCCGCAGCCGCAGCTGCAGCTGCAGCCATAACCGCTGAAGCAGCCGCAGCAAAAACCACAGCATCAGTGGCAGTAGCAATAAATTGTTACTTTTTAAGTTTACAATGTGACTTATGCTCACATTTTTTATTTCATTTTAACCCAGGCCAGCGTTTGGCAGGTGAAATGTTATTATCACATTTCACATATAAAGAAATGTGGGTCAAACTCTTTACAAAGGCACAATGTAAAATGCGATTTCGTATCTTTGTAAATTAGTCAGCTTAAATGCATGAAAAGTTGACGTAAACTGCATTGTGCTGAAGTGCGAGCTTAGCGTACGAGTGCGCTGACAATTGTGCATTTATTTAATTATTAGGTGTTATTATAAAACTTTTAACAAATGAATTTTTTATTTGAATGTATGATTTTTTTAATAGATTAAGTAAGTTATATAAATTAAATTATTAGAAAAAAGATGGTATATAATTCATATACATAGAGGTATTTGAGCTTGTTCACAATCTGAATTAAGGTATTAGTGACGAATTTCATACAGATTGACTACGTACAATCTATACTATTATAGTAACATCCTGGTAAATAATATTGAAGTTACTCAACAAAATTATTAAGCACCATAAATAGCTTACTATTTTTACTCGCTTTATATAAAAATAATTACATAAATAAATTATTATTTAAGTAATAGGCTATTAAAGCACCACGACCTAAAAAATCTATTGTGCGCCTAAAGGCCCAACTAGGACAATTTTAGACTATTTATAAATCTTATAATTGCTGTGGGCTTAATTTTACCTATTTGACTTGGGACCAATATCCCGCTTCCAAGGTAATCGAACATAAATAAATAAATAGCTCACTATTTTTGCTTGCTTTATATAAAAATAATTTCTAATTATAATTTAATTTGGACTAAAACTCATAAATAAAAAGACTAGATTAATTATTCTATAGATATAATTGACAAAAAAAAATTTTTGAATATTACCGTGTTTAGGTCGTTAATTTGACGCATAAAATTATAAAAAAAAATTTTTTTGAAATTAGGTACAGTCATAATTTCCATAACTCGAACTTCTATAACTCGAATTTTCTATAACTCCAATCAAAAACAGTGCACCAAGATTTTAGAGAGCAAATTACATGCAAATCTGCTTCCATAACTCGAACTTGAATTTCTCTATAACTCGAACAAGAATTTTATTCCGTGCCGACAGGAATATGGGAAAGTGCATTCTATAAGTCGAATTTTTATTTTAAGTATGAATCCATTTTGCTGTTAGGGGAAGTCCCTTTTCCAAATCAAATATTCAATTTTTTCTTTCTTATGTTGCGTCTTTCTGCAAATGCCAGTCGCTGGCAGCGTGGTTTACAGTAAATAAAATAACTTCCAATGCTACTCTTAACGATTATATTGAGTTTGACAATGAAATTTGTACATCAAGCTTTCCTAAAGATGACGATATTATTGAGCATTATAGCTTTGAATTAGTTTATCCAATTCTAAATGCAACGAAAAGTGATGATGAGGGCTCGGTGGATGTAATTGTTTATCAGCCTTCCAAGAATGAAGTAGAAGACTAATTCAAAATTCTGAATTTATATTTGAAAACGAATGATACTACAACTGATGATCACTATAAGAGTAGAAATAAAGTGAAATCTCTTTTTACTGGAAATAATTGCAAATAAATAAATATCTTAAAATGTGAAAATAAAAATAAATAAATAAATTCTCTAACTCGAAGTCTCCATAAATCGAACCTATTCTTTGGAAGTTTGACTGTCTATATATTAGAAATAACGCAAGATAACAAAAATGTAATAAAAACAGTCTCTTCAAATAATTAGAAGAAAGTTAATCATTATCTGAAAAGCGTTTTAACAAATAACCAAATTTGAAGCGATTGGCTTTAATATAAACATATATACATTAAAATTAAAACTTCTCATGTCTTAAAGAATTGAATTAATCTGTCAAATATTAAAAGTTGAGACTATTTTATAAATTACAACATCATTTATCATTTTATTTTATTAAAAATAATATTTAACATCATTAAAATTATTATTAAAATTAGAATTTATTCAATATATTATATTTCAAGAAAGAATAATATAATACAGAAATGGTTTCAATTTCTTAAAGTTAACAAATCTATTTTTTTCAATGCCACCCAATCTTACTTTTACTTTTACTCAATTTTGTAATCAGTCTCATTCATAAAAATCAGTCATAAAAAATATAAAACAAAAGACTTAAGCAACAAACTTTTTTGAAAAAAATATTTTAAATTTGTTAGTTCATTTGAATATTGTACATATTTCATAATTTGTTTATAAACAATGAATTATACAGGGTTCCATTCACAGATATAGTTTTTAAACCAAACTTTTATATATTCTTTAAAAGCTAAAGCTGTGGCTTCTAAACTTTTATCTGCAATTCTCTTTTTGATCGAGGAAGGAAGGAATTTATATAAAAATGTCTAATAATACTAACATAACATATAACTAATAATCATAAAAATTCCACTAAATATAATATGCATCAAATTTAATCAAATTTAAATTTTTTTATTTAATAACAACGAAAAAAAATTCCAAGCTTTTACACATTATGATCTATAAAAGATATGACAGTCTTGTTTTTTTAACACAGACCGCTTATATGAATTTTGTACTTTTGAATGGTTTTGTGATAATATATTTACAAGAAAATTTTATTGCTAAAACATAAGATATGTTTACAGATAATAAACATAATCAGCATTACCTTAAATATCAGTTATAAAACTAAGTTTCTTACTCATGTTAAATGCTAACTTAAATAGAAGGGCTTTGTATTACTTTCTTTTCTACATTAATTATACCTTATGACACACTCATATATGTTTTTAAAGTGTTGTAAAAATTTCTATCGTTAATTTAAATGAAAGATTTTACTCAATTTTGTAATCAATACCATTCATAAAAATCAGTCATAAAAAATATAAAACAAAAGACTTAAACAACAAACTTTTTTAAAAAAAATATTTTAAATTTGTTAGCGAGTTGGTTTGTTTTTTTTTTTGTATTACGATATATGGAGAAGAGTACTTGTATTTTGAATTGATGAACTTAAATTTATTTTTGCACGTATACTTGGTTTTAATTAACTCTACTCAATGTATTTATAATCTGACTGAAACAAAATAATCTAGCGTTGTAAAAGATAGGATAGCATAGCACTTATCCGTAAACCAATGCAATATACAATATTATGCGCTTTATATATAAGCTGAGAAAACAAATTAAAAAACTGAACTAATATAGCTAAAAAAGTAAAATATATTATAATTAAAGTTTGGTAACACTGTAACGAATTTTCAATTTAAAAGCATAAAAATCAATATTTGCTTATTTTGTTTAAAAATAGTAAAAAATTAAATTAAAAAACCATAAATTCTACTAAAAATTAAAAAAGGTGAAGTTAATCACAATTTTAATATTAAAAAACAAAAAAATTAGTAAAAAGAAAACAATTTAATTATGTATGTTACTTACAGAAGTTACTAAAAACTTTTTATGACTAATAGACATATTAATTAGCCTTTGAACATTGTGTGAAAAAAGTCTTAATTATGATTCAGTTAATATATGTGTGTTTCGGGCATTATTGTCTTTGATTATTTATTTATAGTAGTGATTCCCAACTTTTCTTGACTAAGAATCACTATGACATTTTTGTTTTTAGTAGGGACAACAAAATGTAAGAATAATAAGCTGTATGATTATTTTAATATGCTTTAAAACATCTCTGTAAGATTATATACTTTATATTGGCTATAAAATAGATATATAATTACTTCGAAATTTTTTGTGCTTATTTTCTAATAAGTAGGGTCTCAGGGGACAAACTGTACGCTATGTATCCATACCTGTTGAATTTGATACACGGATCATTTTTAACCATCTTGCGTGTCACTAGTTAGGAACCACCGA